GAAAACTGCAAACCGAGTCCCGGAAAGAGGCCGGGCTGGAGTCCCAGCTGGAGGTCACCAAGGGTCACGGAGTCGCGGGCGGGTGCGGGGGTGGGGAGGGCAACTCGGGCACAGCCAGCCCTGAGCAGACTCGCGTGGGGCTGCACACTCCGACCCGAGCCAGAGCCGAGACTGGGGGCCTCGGTAGCCCCAGAAGGGCGCAGCCCGCCCCGCTGGGCTCTAGCGCGAATCCACCGGTTTTCCTTCTGCCCTTTGCCCAGCGCCGCCCTGGGGCCAGGGCCACCGCAGGCCTGCGCCCCTGGGGGACACCGTTCCCTGGGCAGCAAGGCCCCCTCCAAGCCTCTTCCCCCTTCCCTTGTTTTCATTTGAGACAGTCTCGCCGTGTAGTCCAGGCTGCCCTCCAAATGGGGAGACCCTCCTGCCTCGGCCTCCCAGTGCCTGTCACAGGCGCGCGCACCGTGCCCGCTATGGGTCTGCCCCGTGGCGTCACCTCCAGGCCCCTGCGCCCGCAGACAACCCGGGTTAACCGGGCGGCCCCTCCTCCCAGCGGCCGGAGGGGAGGCGGCGGCTCCTCTGTCCCCAGGGCAGGGCTCGGCCACACGCCCGGGTCTGGCCCCCGCCTCCCTCCCCGCCCCTCCCCTCCCCCGCCGCGGGACGTTGGATCCCGGGTGCGGTTTCCCGCGCCCCGTGACTTCGGGGAAGGCCCCGCCCCCACACCCCGGGACACCCTGTGCCACCCGCGGGAGGGCGTCGCGGGCGAGTGTGGCGGGGCGTGACGCCGCTGGAGGAGGCCCGCTGAGTCAGCGGTGGGAAACCCCGCAGGAGCCGGCCGGGTCCCCTGGGAGTCGCCCCGCCAGCACCAGCGCTCAGGACCTGCGTGGGGACGGTCCACGGCCCTTCCTGCCACGGTGGGTGCGAAGGCTGCCGAGGGCCGGCCCTCTCCGGGCCCGACCGCTGCGCCTCCACGCCCCGCCCCGCCCCGCCAGGAGGCCGAGTCGGGCGGGCTCCAGGCGGGCAGCGCTGGCCCGCCTTGCTGACCCTTCGCCGGGCGCCCCGCTGCGTGCGTCCTGTCCTGGTTCTCTGTCCCTTTAGCCAAGGTGCTGCTCAAGCACAGCCTCGTGTGGACCCCGGAACAGGGAGCCCCTGGAGGTCGGGGTGCCCGTGGAGACCCGCAGAGCCGCCCCAGGGTTCCGGCCAAGGCCACGCGGAGGGGCGCCAGGCTGCTGACCTCCCGCGGGTGGCCGACACTGCGGCCTCGGGGTGGGGGGGGGAGGCCAGGGACAGCGGGTGTGTGTGTGTGTGTGTGTGTGTGTGTGTGTGTGTGTGTGCGCGCGCGCGCCAGGGACACGTGGGAGGCCGCGCACCTAGACAACAGCCCCCGGCCGGGCACCCTGTGGCCGCACGTTCTGGGGCCCCTCGGGCAGCCCAGCCGGGACCCTTCGGCACCCCCGGGGCGCCCTGTGGCGCGGGGTGGGGCGGGAGCGGAGAGGAGGGGCGCGGGGGACCCCACGGGCACAGGCGGGGACGCCGGGCGAGTGTGGGGGGGCCAGGCGGGGGCGCTGCAGGGGCCTCAGACCTCGCGTGAGGGCGAAGCCAGGGAAGGGGCGGCCTCGGGGCGACGGTGCAGTCCGGGGCGGGCAGCGGACTGAGGGTGAGGCCTCGCGACAGTGTCCAGCGTGGACGGGGTGCGGCGGGTCCACCCCGCAGAGATTCCAATGTGAGAGCGCAGGGCGGGTGCAGGCGTTCGCAGCAGTTCCGGAGGCCGAGCCAGGAAGAAGGCAGGTTGCAGCCAGCCTGGGCAGCTTAACGTCCCTCACTTGAAAATACAATAAAAAAGAAGGGTTGGGGTTTGTAGCCCACTGCACCCCTGGATTCTATTTCCCAGCATCGCAAAAAAAAAAAAAAAAGCAAAAACCAAGTTTTGCGGCAGACAAGGCCATGCCGTCTGACCCAGGTTCCCAAAATGTGGCCCCAGGGGCCGGGGTGAAGCTGGACATCGGGTGAACGCTGCTCAGGATGAGCAAGCCCCCCCCCCCCCAGCAGTAGCAAAACCCCGCCTGGACTTCCAACTGGGAGGCTGAAACAGGAGGATCTTGTGACCCCAGGATTCCAGGCCAGCCTAGGCAACAGAGACTGGGCTCAAAATTGGAAAGCCCCAAAGAAGGGGGTCTGCGCTATGGGAACCGCACCAGCAAGGGGGGCCAAGGGGACCCCTACAGAGCCAGGCACCCTGGGAGGCAGAGGACACCGAGGCAGCGGCCTTGGGGGGCTTGGGTCTGAGATGCAGCTTTGGCGGCTGCTCCCACCAGGACACGTGGGGACCCGCCCGCAAACCCTGCGCGGGCCCAGGGTGAGACCCAGCCATTTGCTGGCCACAGGAACAGTCGCAGTGCACATGCCTGTCATCCCAGCCCTGGGAGGCCGAGGCAGGAGGATGCTGAGTTCGAGGCCAGCCTAGGTCGCACAGGAGACCCTGTCTCCTTTTGCAAGAGTGAACAGAGCTGTTCCAGCCTGCAGAACTGTCCCCCCCGGATGAGAGTCTCTGCTGTGCCGGCCCCTCGGCCCCCAGGCCCCTCACTTGTGCCACCCTCCCCGAGTGGCTGTAGAGGTGCCTGTGTGGCCAAGCTTCAGTCACTGCCGTCCTCGAGGCAGGGCGCCGGCTGGACGTGTGGCGCCATCGCTCCTGTCTCGGCCCCCGTGGCTGGCAGTGGCAGGGGCGGCGGAAGTCACGCGAGGGCTTCCTGGAGGGGAGTCCGGGACTGCCCGGGAGAAAGCGGTCCGCGAGCGCCTCCTGGTGGCACGCGCCGCCGCTGCAGAACGACTGCGTGTGGGGACCGGTGTCCCGCGCGTCCCTTGGGGGTCCAGGTTGGGCTGTTTTCCGGTAAGGTCCGGAGCAGGCTAGGCCGGGCGCCCTGCAGGGCTCTGCCCTGGCCTGAATCCCGGTTCTGGGCATCGCCAGGCGATGCGTGTGGGTGGGCGGCCCAGCCACCGGGAACAGAGACCGCGCAGGTTCCTGCTGCGGACCGGGGCTGTGTGGACGCGCCCTCCACCCCCTCAAGCACCTGGAAACTGCCCGGGCCGGGACCAGGGCCCGCGCTCCCCAGCAGGACCTGGGCACTGACCCCACGACCCGGGCCGAGGCGGCTGCTTGGAACCTCACTCAGGAGGACGCCTCTGCAGCCCTGGCCTGGACATGGAAAACCGCCGCGGTGGGAGAACCAAGGTGGGCGAACCTTCCAGAAAGCCCCAAGTACAAAGCAGAAAACAGATGGAAGAAACAAGCCCACGAAACCCAGGACCCACACTTCCCTGTGGGGTGGCTCCAGCGCCTGTGGGAGAAGGGTCGCTTGGCGTGTGCGTGGCACCCTATCTGTGCTCTCTGGCCTCCGGTTACTTTGCATCTGAAGGTCAGGCCAGGAGCCAGGGTGCACCTGTGGTCACAGCTACTCGGGAGGCGGAGACAGAAGCATCACACCTGGGAGGCCAGGCGGGCAGCCCTCAAGCACAGCAAAAGAATAGTCGGGGAAGAAAAAAAAAAAGAATAGTCCGGTCAGCCCGTGTCTGAAATAGGATGAGCCCCAGCTTGTCCACTTCTGGCTGGCAGTGGCCCTCTGGGATCCCTGGTGTCAAGATCCTTCCTGGGTGAGTGCACACCGATTTCAGACTTTCATAAACCGCGTGTGCGCGCAGGTGTGCTTTCTCCACCTAACACGCTGTGCGCAGGGCTGAAACTCACCTCCCCCCTTGTTGCGCAGGTCCAAACCACAGGTATGTTCAGACTGTGGGTGGCTCCTGGCCAGTATGCTTTTCAGGCAAGAGGAGCATCCATGCACCCCAAGATTGAGCATTACTAGAATTTCTTCCGTTTTCTATGGTTTCACTAAACCAAATACTCTGATGCAGCCAGGTATGGTAGTTAGCACACACCTACAATCCCAGCACTTGGGAGGATGAGGCAGAAGGATCACCCCGAGTTTGAGACTGGCCTGAACTACATGATGAACCTGTCTCAAAATGTCAAACAAAACAAAACAAAACAAAATACAAAAATCAAAAACACAACAAACCCTGATCCCGAATGACAAACCCTCATCCAGAATGGACTCCGGTCCTAGTAAAAGAAAGCTCCAGAGATCAAGTTGTGCCTCAGTTGTCAAAAAACACTCCCTTCCCCTCAGCAAGACCAGTGACTGCACGGGGGTGGGGTGGGTGGCCGGCCCTGAGCACACAGCAGCGGGTCAGAGATCTGGCAGCCCTGCTGCACTGCAGAAGTGGTCTCGGCCTTGCTCTCAGAGGGAAACTGGTTTAGTTGGGACAGCAACACCAGCCACTCTCAGAGCAGGCCTCAGGCCTGCAGATGGGGATGCCTGTCTCAGCTGCGGCCTGGCGGGCAGAGCTCAGGGTGGCACACTTGCAGTTTTGGAGAACTCTGCCAGGTACATGGGAAGCTCTTGTTTTAGAACAAGCAGCGACACACCATGGACCCCTCCTCCTGGCCCCAGCTATGAGGCCCCAGCGGGACAGCAGGAACATCACTACCCAGAGGCACCTGTCACTTGCCAGACCCTTCGGCTGGTGGGAACGAGGGCCCTCTGGCCTGAGTCACCCGCAGGGAGCAGAGCCTTCAGGCAGTTATAGCATGCGGAGCTTGGTGAAGACAGGCGGGACCCACGTGACCAGCTGGCTGCAGGCTCAACTGCCCACCTTTAAACTTATAGCCTATCTGATCATGTCGCCCCAGCAAAAAACCTTTAATGTTAAAATTCATATAAATTCCGCAGTCTTAACTTGCCCACACAGGAATCAGACTTGTGATCCTTCTGCTTCTGCCTCCCAGAGAACTGAGACGGGGCATGCCACCGTCTGGGGACCTGAGACCTTCTGCAAGCCAAAATGGATCAGCAGCCCGGTTTTCCTACCCAAGGTGTGCACTGTGTGGCTAGGAGGCTCCAGAGCCGCTTCGCTGCACGCACAAACCATCACACAGCATTAGGGTGCAGTGTCACACCAGTGCCATTGCACTGCTTAGCACAGTTTTAATAAAACACGATTCTGAGGGAGGCTTTAACCAAGGATGTAAAACCTCAGCTCTATTTCAGGAGAAGCCATCAAAGTAAAACATGAGAAATAAAAACATTTTATCTGTGTATTCAGAATCACACACAAGGTACCTTTTACAGTTCAATTTACTATATAGAAACCATTTGGGTTTTTATATTCTCAGTTAAATTTTGAACTGAGATTACAATATTATATTAAAAAGATTTTACATTACTTTGTTAGCATACCAAATTGGAATACACAAGGTCGAAACTTTAGGTTATGGCAAACAGTCTTCAGATACAATACAATGTCTCTCCAAGTTCACTTGTCACTCACACGAGGTGCCCGCAGGCCAGAGCTGCTCTCTAGCAGACAGCACAGTCGCCAGGCCTAGGGCTGGAGCCGGCCCGGTAAGCCCAGAATGTGGAGCGGTGCCGCCCTGGAAAGGCTCTGGCCATTTCTGCACCCCAACAGGTGGTCAAGGTAGGACCCACTCCTCCTTGGTACTGTTCTAACAAAAAGTTACATGGTACTGTGGAGTTCTGGACAAAACCCCATATTGTACCTTGGAAAAGTCCAAGGCGATTAGATGACAATGGACTGGGGCCCTACACTTTTAATAGGACCCATGCTATTCAAGTGGGCATTAATCAAATAAATATTAAGCACCTACTGGTTTGAGTCAAATCAGAGATTTGTGGCCAACTTGCTTCCACCTTGAAGTCAAGATGTGGAACCAGCTGCTGCAGGGCTCCCAAGCCTCCTCCATGCAGCATAGGTGGGGGTTCTGTCCGTTGGCACCAGAGTGAAGTCACATTTCCTCTTGGAGACAGAAACCCCACATCTGAACAGAGGAAGTCGCGGACAAAACGCGCCCTTGTGGTTTAGTACTGTTGTGATTCTGAGACTTAGGATTGCTAATATACTAGCAGCGATCAAAGCAAATTCCCGGCGATGCCTGCAGGGTTAGTGACATTAACCTCCTTCCCAACCACCAGAAAATTCTGTATGCAAAGAATTAAAATCATTCAGCCAAACAAATGGGAAATAGCAAGAAACTTACAAAAGAGTTCAAATCAGTAACAAAAAAAATTCTAAGTTTGAAATCATTGCAGTTAAATTGAAATGTGACCCCGTCTTCCCCTCCTCATTCTAAACTTAAATACTTCATGCAATAAAGGAAAATCTGATTTCTGGATACAGATGTAGCCCTTCTTTGCGTTTTAGTGCTCGTAGTTCTCTGCAATTTTATTTCCCTCCCCACCAAGTTTATTTAAAGTACTCAACAGAAATCCTCCATGTCAGCCAAAAAGATTTGTGATTCAAAGATTTACTAAGTAACTCTGCATTCTGCCTATACAGAAACACCTGGTTAGCATCACAATGGTTTAGGAAGGGGTAACATTTCAGGGTTAGGACTGTTAAACATCATGCTAACTGCACATCAACTCTCTGCAAGGAATCAGAACTTCACGATGATTTACCACACACTTTAAATTACTAATTAAATAACTCAAAAACGTACTGAGCCAAACTAAATTTAAATGAGCTATAAAGAAAAATAACCCTCAAAACAGATCATATACACATCTATTTCAAAACTACCTTTGCTACTACTAGCTAGCCCCTTTCCCAAAGTTTTAGCTGAAAAAAACAGTAAAATCTACACAAAATTTTATTGCAATCATACAAGGGTTACATTAGGTCAAATACAACAAATACTATGATGCAATTTTACATTAAACTACAGTTCAAAGCACAAATTTACACACTCTAAATACACTAAACGTATCTAATGAAGCCACACTCGTCTCCCCCCTGGCATCTGCTCTACCTGGGCAGAAGATTTAACTTTACACGACTTTTGGACATGAATCCTCAGTATAAAAACTGTGTACTTTTATGTAAACGGTTGAATGGGGAACCCAGGTTGTGGGCTTCCATCTCCACTAAGTCATCCATTTTGTTGCATATTTTATTTTCAAAGCGTAAAGGGTAGGACAAACTGTTAGGGTTAATCTGGACACATTATCTAACCCTCTCTGTTACTCCAACGAATTCTAGAAAAACACTGACTTCGTCTGGTCCCATGCAGCTACGACTTGATGTCTGTCTCTGGGAGATGAAGAGTGAGACAGTTTGGACTGCTCTCCACCCTGGAATGTAGACCAGACCCACGCAACCGAAACCTCAGACCAAGAGAAGGGCGTGGTGCCTTCTAGGCTTCGGTGGCAAAGCCGTCCTCCTGGCTCAGCTGAAGGCAAGAAGGCACGAAGAAGAAGCTCTTCATCACGGTGTCTGCAGCCACGCCCGCATCCTGCAGCTCGCACCTGCAGGGGAGAGGCGAGGTCAGGAGCGTGTGCGAGCCACTGTGCTGCGATCGCAGCCCGGAAAGCTTCCCGGCCACCTAGCTGAGGCCAGCGCCTTACCAGTCGCTGAATGACATCATGTAGTACATGGCCGGCCGCGGCACGTCCTTGAACACAGAGGCCTCCGGGAAGGAGTCTGCGCCCATGTCGGTGAAGAGCAGCCAGTCGCCCACGTCCAGCTCCGGGAGAAGACAGCTCTCCACGACCCGGTCAAGTTCGTCACAAGACGGACCCCACAGGCTGCTTGGGAAGAGAGGCTCACCCTCCTTGTATTTCTGTGCAAAGGTTTTAGAAAGTGACCTTTACTCATACTCACACAAAGGGCCTGCAGCTGCCCAGGCAGTGGCCTCACTCGGGAGCCCGCAAAGGAAGGGCTGCCAGGTGTACCATAACCATAGCAGCTGACTGGAACGCAGCCACAGTTGGGGTGCTCATTAGAGGGGGTATCTACACCCTAGAGTTTCCTCAAGTACAGGAGCGCTTGTTTAAGGTAACTAGGGGCTGGGCATGGAGGAACATGGTAGGAGCCCAGCACCTGGGAGGCTGAGGCAGGAGGACTGCAAATACAAGGCCAGCACGGGCAGTGGCAGCTTACGGGGAGGCCCTGGGTTCAGTCCCCAGCCCTGCAGGGTGGAGGATAACATCCAGGCCCCACCCCCCTTTTGTGGCAGCGGTGGTGGGCTAGGGACTGAATCCAGTGCCGGCCACACAGACGGACTCCACCACCCAGGTGCTCCCTCCCCCACAGCGAGGCTTTAAATGAACACGCAGCTCTGGCACGGCTTGCAGTGCAGTGCGACTTGCCTTGTGAACCTCTGGGAGGGCACTCAAGTCCTCAGACAGTTTACTCGCAAAAGAACCGTAAACACCATCATTCATGTAATACACGAAGGCTGGCTCACCGCTCCTGGTTTTTTCTAGTGAAATCAATCAGAAAAGAAGAAGGTAAGTTTGTAGTAAAATGTCTACGATATTGTATATATAGGCTACATTACCAAATAGAGCTATTATCTATAAAACTAATGCAGTATTCCCCCCTCAAAACCTTTAAATCAGTAACACTATTGCTATATGCTGACATACCTTAAAACAAAACTCGGCCTAAAAGCCTCAACACATAGTCCACGCTGCACTGCGGGCTGCCATAAACAGAAGCGCCCACGGCAGTAAGGCAGGCTCGGGAGAGGGAGGATGGCCCTGGGTGCCCCATGTACCAGCCACTGGGCCATGCTGGAGAGTGCTGCAGAGGGTGCGTCCAAAGCACCCACGGCCGGGCCAGCGAAACAAAGAATTTTAGGTACCACGGCTCATGAACCTAATTCCTTCCATGTTTCTGGTTACTAATGCTTGCCATTCAGTTGTGACCAGGATTGGGGATGAATTCTGCAACCAGAATGAAGCTTGTAAACTGGGAGCAACTGGGGTATAAATGACTGTATGTCATTTATACAACCTGCTGACTGTATCTGTAGGTCTCCATGAATCCCAGTGAGTAACATTACGTGTAGATGTGTTTGGGCAAAGGTTACTTAGAGGCTCTAACATCGTCTGGGTAACGGAGTTAGAATTCACTGACAAATGCCAAAGCTGGTGGGCAAAAGGCTGATGACAGGCACTACCTGCCATAATCTCAAATCCTGTCTTAACCCTAACTGAGTGAGCAAAACAAAATGCCAGCCCCATCAATATGAGGACAGGGGCCACATGATTCCTATCCCTAAGGTCTTGATGGACTTCTTCAGAGCCCACCCAGAGGACACTAAGCCAAGCTCTGCTCTTCAGGAACGTCAAAGGGCCTAGAGTATGTTCTGGAACCACCATCCAGAGAGGAACCCACCATCTCCCCAGGGACTGGGTACCTGTCCAGGTGGAGATTCAGGACAGTGGCGCTGGGTGTTATACAGACCATCTCACGCCATCCTGGGGCCTGAGCCGAAGATGGACTGGCAGGGCTCTCTGCTGGCCCTCAGGTTAGGACAGTACCATGCAAGTGCTACCTCGGGCCCACCCGAGGCAAGAGGTATCAAGCAGTGGCTTTAACAGGCAATGAGAATGAGCCCTGCGGCTCGCCTAAGCCCCCACGTCTAGGTGTCAGTGGCCGGGAGAGCCTGAACTTGTGTGGCATCTGCAACAGGACTTGGGCTGGCATTCTGAGCTGTACTCCGGCTGCTGGAGGCTGGAAGAGTTGCCTGTAACCGACGCCCACCTACTCACATCCAGACTAACTGGAATCACCTGACGCTGCAGCCTACCTCCAGCGGGAAACTTCTCAGTGTCAACAACTTTCTTCGCAATGATATTGACTGCAAGTGTGAAAGCGGAAGACACATAGTAGCTTCCAGGTTCTGAGACGATCTCAATGCCGGAGCCCTCAGGAAAGTAGACGTCCAGCAGAGGGCGGATAACGCGATTGACCTGCAGAGTTCAAATCCCGGGTTATGGCTTCAACACTCAACTACAGAATTCACAACACTGAAGAGACCAACAGCGGAACCTTACTGTGTTTCCTAAGGAAACTCCACAGCTCCAGTTACAGGCTGTGAAATGCAGCTGTTTACCAGGTGATCCTCCAACAAGTATGCAGACTTTCAAACTCAAGTTTATTTTATGGCTATCAACATGGCAGACAAGAAAAGCAAAACTCCAACTGGGAGTGGTGGTGCACACCTGTAATCCCAGCAGGCAGCAGGGCTGTTTTAAATTCAAGACCAGCCTGGGCTACAAATGAGCTCAAGGCCGACCTGAACTGCATGACCGACCCTGTCTCAAAAACAAACAAAAAGGCAAAACTCTTGCAGCATACTCGGCTGACAGCAACAAAGCTGCCAAGTTTCAAAGCAGTTTCTAGTAACTACAGCCTAAGGAAGAGGATGGGCAGGGAGCGTGGAGGACCAAAGCACACTTAGCCAATTCTGCTTCAATCTGGGAGTGCAGCTGGGACACTGGAGTCCCTGAACACCTCTGAGGGGGTGGAGTACAGCTCACGGTAGAACATTTGTCTACCATTCCTAAGGCCCTGGCTCAGAAAAAAAAAAAAAAAAAAAAAATCTGTAATGTGCTAGAAGCCAAAGCATTTCAAACTTTAAGGTTAGTTTGGTCGTCTCACCGTCTCATTGCCTATGATTCAGCTCAGCCCGGGCAACTTAGGGCCACTGTCTCAGAAAACTCACAGCTGGGCTCGGCGAGGACACAGCTAACCATGGTTCAATCATCTCTACCAGGGAGGAAGGAGCAAAGCAAGCGGACTACTCAGTCCGGTCCCTGAAACACCTACCGCTTCCAGCTGAAATGCAGTCCCTGTGAAGCCTCCGCCGATGTCTAACATGCTCATTGTAAAGCCAAATTCTCCCTACAGATGAGACAAAGATTTTAAATGCTTTTCCAAAATGTAACCCATTAATGCAGTGCCCCCTCAAACTTGACCGTACTAATGTACTAAATAACCTATTTTATTCTTTTATCTACTTAGAAAAGCTTGACTCTATGGGGTCCTGAACCCTCATGTTATTAAAAGCAAGATGCATGTCCTTAAGTGTAAGGACAGTTAATTCACACAGGCAGGAAAAGTCCTGAACACAGCCTTGACTTCAAATATCACAACAACTGAAAGCACTCACAGCCATGTCGAACACACACCGAGCATCCGAGAGCGCATGTACATACACTTGGGGTTCTTTGCAAGCCCTTGAAACATGGAATCTGAAAGAAAGAAGAGTAACACATGTAAAGCAGCTAACACATGTAAAGAGCAACACATGTAAGTTTTCAAGGAACCTCTCACAATTCCTTTCCTCCACCATTCACCATTCTGAACCTAATTTTGCGCCTGTAGGGAAGCTTCTAACTACTCAAGTTACAATGGCCAATCAGTGCAATGCCACAGCCAAAATCTGCTGCGAGCCAGGCACCAGTCACCAGAGGGAGCGCCTGCGGGTTCGGCTCTGCACGTACATATGTATCATGAGTAGCCAGCACCAACCCATGGGATCGTAACACCCTCCTTTCCAACATTTGACGTCATCTGACCAAGTGCACATGTGTCTATTGTGAGACAGAAATAAAAACTCACTCAGGTAGGCCATCCTTATTGTGATACTACAAGCTTTAGAAAATACTGGGCTAGGGATTTAGCTCAGTGGCAAAAGCACCTGCCTTGCAAGCTTGAGGCCGTGAGTTCGATCCCTAGCACCGACAAAAAAAAAAAAAAAAAAAAAAACAAAAACAAACAAACAAACCCCCTGAAGTTTAGCTGAAACAGTTTTGCTGCGGCCTGACTTAGCAATGGTCCACAGATGACACAATTCATGGAAATGTAAGCACCCCAACAATGCTATCTACCGTGCAGAACACAGCAAGGTTCAGGTTTTCATGTGGAAGGCCACCTGCCACATGTGTGCAGCGGGGCAGAAGGACACACTAAGCTGTGCAGCCTCATGAAGCCTCCTGAGGCTTAGTGGTATCTGTTTCCAGATCTGATTCAATCATTTGACCTGTTCATGCTGAGGCCATAATTCCCTGCTGGCAGCTCTGAACTGAATGCACCTGTCCCCACCAGCCTGAGCCACACGTGGTCCAAGTGGCCATCTCACGCCCACTGGGAGGCTGGCACTGCTGTTCAGTGAAAGGTGCTGATTCAGCAGACCAGATGCCATCCATTAGAGCCCAAGGAAACACTGAAATGATAATGCAAAGCTAGGTGTGGGGGCACACGCTTGTAACCCCAGCACTTGGGAGGCCAAGGCAGGAGGACTGCCGTGAGTTCAAGACCACCCTGGGTTACACAGTGACTTCAAGATCAGCGTGCACTACATAGTGAGAACCTGTCTCAAGGCGGGGGGGGGGGGGGGGGGAGATATCAATCAAATAATTACTGATAAACTATAAATATAAATTTCTTCTAAATTAATGAAATAAGTATTTCCATCTGGACATTAATTATTCAAATTTACACAGCTAACTAGATCTGGTCCATTTATAAACTTTTGAGAAATTCTACTAGTTAAGTCCAAAGACCAATAAAAGTGATTAGGTTTGTTTGTATGCCAGCCACAGCTCCTGTGAGCACCACCGGCTGGTGGTCAAGACAGCAGTGTGTGATACACCTCTCTGGCCTCACATAAAAACACCAAGTTTCCACAAATAAAAAACAGCAAGCGTAAGATTAACTGAAATGTTCCTGAAGGAGTAAAAGGAAAAGTCAGATGAGAAACGGAAATAAAATACACAGCCTAGAAGCTGAGTGCCATTTTATAACTCACTTGTAATCTAGCATGTGGGAGCTCTGCACCGGGGACCGTGGTGGTGTGGGCTGGAGCTGACGGTTTAAATTACTCTGTACTGACTATTTTGCCTCTTTATTGGAGGCAGTACAAAGCAGAAAGTATATTTGTTTTTTCCAAACTTAAAGAAAACCTATTTAATAACTAAAAGACATTGAGAACTTTGGATTTCATGCAAATGAAGTCTTTATTAAATCAACAACCAGAAACATTCTCACTGTAAGAAAAGGTTGGAAGGAATACTCACTTAACTCCCACTATTTGGACATCAAGCTCCTTAGCACATTCCAAGAGATGCCTACAGCTCTTCAGCGTGGAGCCAAACTTCATGCTGCCCTCCTCACCTCCTCTATCATCTTCCGTTGCAAGATGTAGTAAGACCCTAAGAGAAGGGGAAGATGATTGGGGCAGAGTTGTTTACACCATCATCAGCACATGTGAAGCCTGAAGGCGGTAGGAAGGGTGTTGACTATGTTGCCAGCGCTCCCAAATCCAGCGATGGATGAATCAAGTGAACCTAATGAAAAACAATCCTGTACAGAGAAAAAACTAGCAATTAGGGCCTACGTCAAGAAGCTGCCAAGGACAGGATTTTGGAAAATGCAGCGAGTTAGGGTTGGTGTGGTACCCAGAGTTAAGTTGGGTTCTGTAATGAAAGACTACATTACTTTCAAATGAAGTCCACTGGTCCTTAAATCCACCTGGAAAGACTAAATTCAATAGCAATGTCATCGATCTTTCAATAAAAATAGGAGGGTTGTGAAGTTCTTAGAAGTAGTTGGCTAACCCTCAATCACACACTGCTATTAACCTCTTACATCCTAGATTTCTAATGGGAAAGGAACTGCTGGAAGTTTTAGTTGTTATATGTCTCAAATCTTTCTGCTATGCCCTCCAAGACAAAGTGATTAAGGCTGACTTACAAGACCCTCATTAGTGCTTGTTAGTGCCTTGCCTGAAGGAGCACTGATGAGCGGGTGCTCAGGGAAACCGAAGCTTAGGGTGCAGAAGGCACCGCTAGCTCCCTGCCTCACAGCAGAGACATCTGAACACAGTTAAGCAGGCCTGGCCTTTTTTTTAAAAAAAGTCATTCGCTACAATTCCCTCTTTTTTTTTTTTTTTTTTTACTCGTACCAGGGATCGAACTCACGATCATGCGCTTGCAAGACAGCTGCTTATGCAGCTGAGCTAAATCCCCAGCCCCTAATTCCCTCTTTCATTCAAATGTTTTTCAGGATAATTAATGTCATGATACCTTAATAGTAAGTCAGTAAAAACAAACTAACAAAAACCATCCTATGTCCTTCTGAGACACTAACCCATCACACGGCAGTGGCACTAACCTGATCACCGCGCATTTCCTCCCAAGCTACAGATCATAAGATTATTTCCCAGGCCAGGCCCATCAGCCCATGTCCACCCCAAGGGGCACAGAAGCAGGCGTGACATGCCGTCAGCATTTTCAGTGCAGAAACCCCCAACAAGTCAAGGCATAATTACGCTACAATGCTGCTCTCCTACGAAAGCCCTTCTTCCCAGGCCACACACAGTCCGCATCCCCTCAGTAGTAACATAATGTTCAAGCACTTAGCTTTTATACTTACTTGGCATTTGAGTGATTACGAGCAATTTTCTTCAATTCAATTTCATTGTCACATGTCATGATATTCACTCCAATTTTTGCTGCATATTTTATATGTGAAACTTGCTTGCAAGGACTTATGTAAATAATATTTTCTGGAGATACGCCCAATTCTTGCACTAAAGCCATTTCATTCTGTGAAGACATTTTTAACACTGTCACTTCACTGGCAAAACTCTCAACAGCTTTTCAGCTGACCACGCACACATGCTCGTATGCAGGCACACACACACTTCCCTTGTGAAGCGCTGGGGCCTGAGGCCGAGGCCTCCTGTGTCCAGACAGGAGCTCCACCACCGACTGCCCCCTCCTGGGCCTCTGAAGTGATTTTCTGCTTGGACTAAGGCTGTATTTCTTGCTATCAGTGTGTGCTCGCTCACTCGTGCTTTTCCACCCTGCTCTGCCCAGACATATACTACGGTCAGAAGTAGAGCTCATCCTGGCCTAACGGTAAGGAACAAGTATGCTTCTGTCTCATAAAGGGAAAGCTTTCCAAAGGGCCATCGCCTGCAGCCTCCCTTCACTCCCACAGCCGAGAAGTCAGCAGATGACCCGAGGGTCTGCATTTAGCCCCTCCGAAGCCCCGCTTCCTGCTACTGCCCCGCTGGGTTAGGGTGCATGTGTGAGCAGGGAAGGAAGACTCACCTTGCTGGAGCAGGCGAAGCCCGTCCCCAGCGCCGCCAGGATCTCCAGCACAGCCGGGGCTGAGTTGCTCCTCACCGTGTAGAACGGCTTGATCTGAGCAGCCACACTCTGCCACTGGCTGTGCTTCTTCACGATTTTCCCGAGATCCCCCACGAAAAATGCACTCTTCCCTGTCTGCATCGATACGGGAGGGAAAGGAGGAGCGAAAACATCAGGCTTCCTTCCGTACTGGACAACCGCTGAAGAGTAATCACTAGGGCACGCGAGCATTAAAGGGGCCTGAATGCTTCTCACCTTCCTTGATCAATCGGACACTGTTGTGCTTCACTGGCATACAAAAAGTGAGGGGTTTTAAAATGCATCAATTTACACCGACTTTTCTTGTTTCGTGGCTGCCTTTTCTGATTTACTTTACTGAAGCAGGGCGCTGTGTGAGACATGCTGCAGCCTTGATCAGCCCAGAAGTGTGGGGGTGACTGACGGGCGGGCAGGGGCTGCTGCCACTCACAACAGACCGACTTTAGCATTCACGGCATAATCTGGCAATACCGTAGGGAAAGCTCAAAAAGATTTAGACTTTCAAACATACTTCAGAGCATGGCTGTAGTCCTACCTACTTGGGAGGAGGAGGAGGAGGAGGATCAGTCAAGCTAGGTAACAGTGAGATCCTATCCCAAAAAACAAAACCCCATGTCCCAAAGGCCCACCCAGGACACTTTTCCCTCCACACAATAAACTGACTTGATACTCCCAAAGGCACTCGGGAGACTGAGGCAGGGACAGACCCATGAACCACCTGTGAGTTCAAGGCCAGTCTGCACTGTGGAGCATGATCTTGCCTCAAAAAACCAAAGCCTCCAAAACCCTGACAAACAGACCTGGGGCTTCTGCACTGAGCTGTATCTCCAGCCCTTTTAAGTTCTTTTTATATGGTTTTACTTTGAGACAAGATGTCAACTGAGTTACGACGTTGCCCAGGCTGAGCTTAATCTTGAGTCCTCCTGCCTCAGCCTCCAGGGTGCTGGGATATAGGCCTGCACCACTACACCCATTTTCAGTGTCCTCGGAAACGTGTGAGACTGAAAACTCGTAGTGAGCAATGGAAAACTAAGTAATTGTGCCTGCTGGGGAGCCTTCATGTGACGGATATGCATGCAGTAGAACTAAACAGGCCTAGGGAAGAGCAGAAGTGGGGAAGCAGATGGAGAGGCAGCCACTGCTCCGTGCGTCATGGAAGACAGGAGTCAGGGAATGCAGCCGTGAGGGAGGAGACCAGCAGATCAACTGGCTCGGCAACGTCCTGGGGCCACAGCCAGAGAGGGTCCTCGGGAGGGCAGCCTGGCCCAGGGCGGATGGGTGGCTACTTCTAGGAAGTGCTACAAAAGTCAGCAGCACAGTGAAGCGGCCAAGGAAAGGTCAGCAAAATGCGACCAGCTCTCCACTGCTGTGAGAACACACGGAGGAAAGGCCCTGCGGGGGTGAGGGGAGGCGGAGGTCCCGTGGACCCAGGAGAGCACAGCCTGCAGTCTGATTATGGTATTACTGAGCACTGACTTAACGTGAAGGTAATTCTCCAACAAATCTGGGGAGTTCAGAAAATGAGCTCCCTCCCACAAAGAAACAAATTCCATCATGAAGTCAGTAAATGAAAATAATTCTATCATCTAAAATGCAGTTGAGGCTGGGATTTAGCTCAGTGGCACAAGTGCCTGCCTGGCAAGTGCAAGGTCCTGAGTCCAACTGCTGTATCAAGTAAATTAGTAAATAAATAAATAAAATGCAGACAGACAACTTTAAGAAATAGTGAAATTCTGTGCAAGTGAACTTTGGGCAGCAGCATGTGCCTCACATTCTGCCGAGAAACACAAGCCAGACCTTTGGAAGAACTAGGCGCTATGAGGCCTGGCCGAGATTTTATAAAGCATTCTTTTATAACATGGGCTAAAAATAAACTCCGGCATTATTCAAAGGGGATGGTGGTGGTGGGGTTGGTGTCATGTTCAATCCACCTGGAAAAATCAAGTAACAACCAAGCACTTCTGTCAGAGTAACAGCTGAGAGATAGAACAGTGCTGACCCTCTGTAGCACCAGGGTGTAACTTACCAGGGTATGTTCATTAACATAGTTATCAATAACATTTCCAAGGTTTGTTCCTTCATCCAGCAGGCCAACGGAGTAGTTTGCATCGTCAACGAATCCTTTCATCTCAGCCGTATTCCACAAAGCCGAAAGTCATAAACCAGGAAAAACAAGTGATGGGCCACCAAGCTTATGTCTGGGTCCTTAGAATATGCAACAAACTGCCAAAACAGAAGTCACATCACAATCTGCATTATTCAATAGGTGAGCATGCGGGAGCTGGCAGGAAACTGCTCAGTCATGAGTGTGCTCCCACATAACACTTAGGAAACCTTACATTAGTGCTAAAATCTGTTACCCATTTTAAAACCAGCTCAATGCAGCTTATGGAAACGCAGCCACATGTGCGCTATACTACATGGCAGCACCAGGGAGCTGCAGACTCACAGCCTTGTGCATGGAAGGTGGCCTTAGGGACAATCTGTGGCAGTGACCTGACTGCCTGGGTCCTGATTTCAAGCTAAAATGATGCTGGCAACATCAGCAGAGCCAGTGGAGGTCTCTCAGGTGATCCGATTGGTGAAATTACTGACACAAAACCTGCAGAGGGGGCTCTGCGTACAATCTTCCACTCACTTCTCTAACCCAATGATGACCTAGTTACTTCCCTGAAAGGCTTCTGTAAAACACCTGTTTAAATAAATCTTATACCACTGTAACTGGAAACCTGAAACAAGCTAAGATCTCTGGAAAGCTTCAAGCTAACTCCTCCTCCACCCATCCACCCACATACCCACCCAAAACACCTTCCCTGTTCCCCAGGTTACCCATTCTCCCCTCTGGACCCCATCGTTGAAACACCAACTTATCTTTGCTGACTTTCACTGGCCCTTAGGTTACCTAGGAAATGACTTCTTGGAATGTAAACAAGACACAACAAGCCCTCCAGACAGCAGCTGCCCCAGCAGCCTATCCAAATCTGCCAACCTACTCCATGGCCCCTCCACTCCTCACCGCCTACCAGGAGGCACATTCTGTTTCAGGGGTCCCCAAGCCAAACTTTGACTTTTTGATTTCCAAATAGTTTTAATTTTTAAAACTAACAGTTGTATTTCCAAGGAGCTAACTACATTCAGTTCCATTCATTAAATTTCTTTCATCCTATGGTGGAAACTAAATAAAGCTGAGGTTATTTTTATTTTACTGGAGAAGTTAATTTTGGTTTATCTGCATGAGAGCTTATACTTATGTGGTAAGTTAAATTACACCCTAGACTTCGTCTAAGGGATGTTGTAACAGGACTGATGTAAATTTTGTGTCCAGAAAGCAGGCATTTTAGGCTAAGGATGCACGTAATTATTTTAAGCAATGTTAACTCCAGTAGAACATCAATTTTAGGGGGTTACTACATTCAATGAGGCACTAGAAGACACGAAAAAAGGCCACTCATACAAAAAGATAAACGCCTTGGCAAATAAATGTAAGACTAAGGCAAGACCTTTGTATTAAGCATTTTGAGACAGGCACTAACTGCGCCATTCAGGCTGCCCTCCAACTCTCGGTGACCCTCTGGCCTCACAGCCTCCAACGGCTGGCATTAGAGGCGAGCACCTCTATGCCCAGCTCGTTAGGTTTAAACAGTCGGCTCCAAAGAAAGAAAATTTAATCATTATCTTTAACCACGTAGACACACAAACACAAATGTATCCACTGATGCCCTCGTGACCCTTTCACTCACTGGGTCACTGTGGGCCACCGCAGAACCGCAGCCGTACCCCGACAGTCTAGCTCTTCAGGTCACGACAAGCTAACCTCAAGCTCCATTTCCCTTAGCCCAGGAAGGGCAACTTTCCTGCACCTCGCAGAAGCCCTGTACCTAGAAAGCTCCAGGCCCCTTGGTCCCCCTTCTATGTGCTTGGCTGTTCCCACTCTTTGGGCTTTTCTGTAACAGTATGATCACAGCAATGTTTTTTCCAAGTACTTTTTCAAGCTGCATGCTGGTGATCAACTAACGAGATAAAATAAAAAACCTGCTTCCGCATTCCTATGCCTTACAGAATCCTTAGCTTGGAAATTCAGCACTGCAACCAAAAACTCATTTTCAGACACCGACTCCCATGACTCTTGATCACAATATCCTGCTGGGGCTGCGTCACAGCCTTCACTCTCTACTCCTCTCCACCTGACTCTTACTTCCTCTTTCTTTGGTGCTGGAGACTCCTCCCAGACATCCATGCAGCAGAGCGCTGAGTGACACCCCTGGACTCTCATCTTCAGTATTTTCATCTTGCTCCTCTTTTTCAGGCTTGGACTTCTGATCTTGCATCAGATTTCCAGAATGCTGGGATGCCAGGCCTGTGTCACCATATCTAACTTCTTCCCTAAATGTTAAGTCTGATCTCAGGCAAAATTCGAAAGGTTCCAAATTCTGTATCCCTCTTAAAGATGACATGCATAATGCGTGCCCACTTTGACACCTATCAAAAACTGTCCGAGTAGTACCCATACAGGGGAGCTCCCAGGTGCCTCTTGCAGCCAACTGCAATTGCCATCCCAGGCAATCTGCAGCCTGACTTTCCGCCAGAGGCTGTGTCTATGGCTGGGTGCGGGCCAGAGGGTGCTGACCCCACTCTCGGGTAATTGCAGGATGAACCCAGCGGTGCTGGCCCACCTGACGCTGCGCTCCTGGGTGGACTCTCCCTGAAAGTAGAACAGGGAGAGCTGAAAGGTGCACAGAACCCTGAACACCGTCCCAGACGCCTAGGCAGGAGAGTAGCCACAATCTTACACCTTTTTTCGATGATCTCCTAACAGGGCTTTTACTCTGTAAAGGTGGAGCCCCAAGATCCTGTGAAACAGATACCATTGCAGTCCCTCAGGACTGACTGGGCACTCAGCTCCCACTTGAAAAGCAGTGGTCGAGGCCCTCTGTGTCCTGTCATCAGTGGCAAAACCTCCCTCACACACTGACTGCCTCTGTAATCGGCTGCAGAGCACCGGAAGGCTAACAAAAACACACATTGCACAGCGAGATCCTGTCTCAAAAACTTGTCTTACTATGCAGTGTAAACTGACCTTGACTGAACTCACTATGTAGCCCAGAATGGCCTTAAACTTGTGTCAATCCTCCTGCCTGAGCCTCTGGAGTTCTGGGACTTACATGTGTGTGCCACCACACAAAAAAGTGTATCTTCACTAGGGAAGCTGAGATAGGAGGATCTCAAGTTTGAGGCCAGTCTAGGTCACATCTAATGAGTGCAACAGCAGCCTGAACTGCATAGTGAAACCCTGTCAGTTTGACCCCAGTACAAAAAAAAGTATACTTTAAGGACAAAATGAATATGGGATTTCCATAGCAACATTACTTTTGCATGTGCAACTAGCTGCTCAGCTGGAGCAGGTGACCACAGCCATATCCCCTGACAGATGGCTGTGGTGGTGGGGTGTGCCCTATCTCGAAATTTCAAAACTGGACTTTCTTTCCTTTGGTGCTGGGGATGTAGCTCTGTGAGAAGGCCCTAGGTTCAATCCCTGGCACTGCAAAACAAAAACATGCATTTATTGTCTTGGTTAGCTTAGAGCAGACTTTACTGCCTGGGTACTCTGGTGCCCACAGAAAGATTATGTATCAAATATCTATAGTATAGTCACTGTATCAATTAAGCAACAAGATCTGAGGAACGCCTAGGAGGCCTATGCACGATGCCACGGGACAGCAGGTCACCTCCACAAAACAGGTTAGGACTGTGTCCACTCAGCAGCCCCTCATTCTCCAGGTGTTCCATCCCATGCAATCCTGGGGCAGCGTCTGGCAGCTACTTTTCACGCTGGCTGTGGCCTTCCAGGAGTCCTACAGCCTAGGGCACACACTACCCTGATGCTAAGTTGTAAGAGGCAGTCCCTGAGCCATCTTTCCTTATCTTTTTGTTGTCTGTGCCCTCATCCAGAGAAACAGCTACTTGAGGGTTGCTTACCTGGGGACTTGTAGAGGATTGGCACTGGTGGTCCACTTAACACCACTGAATTGAATCAGCGTGGTGCTGAGCATGGAGGGCCAACATGAAGCCTGCAACCAGCATAAAAGGGAGACCCAGAGAGCGGAGGAACACTGTGGGTTCTTCTAAGTGGTGTTGCTGTTTGGAGCAACACCTCCTGGAGGAGCTTGTCATGTTGGCTCCCTGATAAGAACTTGGCTGTTATCATTGGAAGAGCTCAGGACTTTGTTGCAGAGGATGGCTGTGGTTCACTTTGGGGGAGCCCTGGTCCTTACGTTGAGCACTGCTTCCTGGCTCTGGAGGGGAAGATGTGTGCTGCTTCATCTCAAGGAGAAGCTTGTCACGCTGGCTTCCTAATATGGAATTGGCTGTTTATCATCATCAGGGAAGCTTGGGACCTCACTGTCACTGAGGATGGCTGTGGGACTTTTCAGGTCGGCCTTGGTCCTTATTTTGAGTGTCACTTCTTGGTTTCAGGACAGAGCTTCCAGCCTGCTAGCACAGAAACTTCACCCTGCTGGCATAGAACTTTCTAGTTTCTACCGCTGACCTTTGGGCCTTCTCAGCGCAGATCTTTGGGACACACTTTCATTGTCATGGGCTCTAGGTTTTCAGTTGAACTCATGCTGGTTATTGCCATGGGATTCAGGCCAGCAGCTAGATTTTCTAAGTTTTTAGTGTTGTAGACAGACTTATTGAACTTCCTTTGTATGACTCCTTGGGTGACCGTTTTAACTCACACTATGATGATGATGATGTATCCCATATGTACTTGTTCTCTCTGCAACTCCCGAGTATAACAGGACTGTTACTCTAACATGCTGGAAAACTACAGAATTCACCCAGAGAAGGAACAAGGTGCGACCGTCTGGTTCCTATTAACAGTCACAAGCTCACTGTGGCTGATGCTAGCAGTTCTTCCCAGGAGAACTTTCTGCATTAAGATTTCTTTACTGGTATGAGCTCCTCAGTGTTTCAAGCATGAGCCTCACATAACTAAGGAAATGAAATTTTGAGGAAAAAAAATCCGGAGTCCATCTCAGCCCCAAACTGCATTTGAGCCTTATTTATTAGATTTAGGTAGCCACCTGTCTGGTGGATCCTACTGAACACGCGAGTGTTCAACAATGCTGTTCTCATCAGCATTAGAGAGCAAGTCCACATATGGAATTTTAGGACCCCCGCCATCCTCTGAATGACTCTGCTCATGGTAACAAAGTTTGATTTACAAACAAAGGTTATTGGACTCTGTACAGGAGGTAAATTCTGAATGAGGGTTATGCCATAAAGGCAGAAAGTTTAAGAGAAAGAGTCTGCTGTCTGTGACTCCTTGGGAAGCCAGTCAGGTCCAGGCATCTCTAGCTCCCCAGCTGCTGAGGTCATGGGCAGGCTGACCCTGGCCTAACCCTCATGACTCAGCACACCACATGCCAGCGGGGAGATGCTGCACTAGACAGAAGGATTCACTTGGTGTGTGACCCACTGCATGGTGACCCCGGGACAGAGCCAAAGCACAAGCACCTGTCCTCCTGAGCCTTTCCCCAAATGCCCCTCCAGGTGGCCAGCCTCCAGCATTCCACTAAACCTACCAGGAGATCCGGTGCAGTCTAGCCAGACAAACGTCCTCAGTGTGGGAGTGGCCGCTGGGTGAGTGAGGTAGCAGACAGAGCAGGCTGGGAGCAGCCAGTGCTGACACACGGCTGGCAGTCACTGTTATCTTGCAGCTCAAGTGCCCTGTGCAATAAATAGGAACCCTTTCCACCCCCTTCACCACTGAGCTACACTATCTCCCATCTTTGTGGCCCTCCCAGAAAAGGTTCTACACTTCCCCAAAGCAAGAACATCATGCCTGCAGATCTCATTCATCTAACACGCTATTTATTCACTGTGCTTGTACAGAGTATTTCTCTGCTACCTTATGGGTAAAAACACAACATTAAATATTACTTTATGTATACCAGGGAGACATACATACCTTAAAAATCTGTGTATTTCAATAATAGTTTAAAGGCATTGAATAATAAACTGCTGCTTTACATTCCTACATGAACACAGAATTAACCATGACAATTAACCATGACAGGTAGGGTACATTTTTAAAGCAAACTTAGGAGTGCATTTATTCAATTCACTGAATCCTTTTCCTATACTTACTATGAAGGGTTATGTTTATGGTAAAATATGAACTCATAACCAGATCCACTGGTAAAGGCAAAGAGTAGAGCTGCTAGTAAAACTTCGTCTGAATTGAAAGATTTAGATATGTTCAATTAGAAAGAGATGAAGTATTTCATAACTTTCTTCTTTTCTAATAAAGGTACTTGATGTTAAAAAAATAAAATGTGTTCAATTAGGCTAATGTATTAATTAAAACTGGTGTCAGAACTAATATGTATTAAAAACTAGCTCAATGGAAAAACATTACAGCAGCATAAAGTCCTAGGAAAATTTTGAAAAGGACATCAAAGAATTTCTACCATCTGAAATACTTTTGGCAAAACATCTGTAAAAAGATGTGTCCAGTGTTAGAAGATGGGAGTGTGTTGCAGATGGAATATGGTACTAAGGCCACGTTCAGTAGCCAGAAAAGTACTGTGCGTACTTTAAAAACTAGCTTTGAAGGCAGGTGTGGTGGTGCACGCCTGTTACCCTGGAACGTAGGAGGCTGAGGCAGCAGGATGGCCATGAGTTTGAGACCATCCTAGGTTCTATATAAGTGGTTACAAGGCCAGTCTGCACTGTATAGTGAGACCCTGTCTCAAAACACAAAATGAAACAAGACCAAAAAATGAACAACCTAGCTTTGAAAGATATAAGTAACTTCCAATGTTTACAGATACTAAAATTCAGGTGGTCATTTGACTTCAAGCTTACCTTGAAGCCACCTGTGGGGTCCCCTGGGACTTTCTTGAGAGCCTATGTGGGTACAGGGACATTAAGCATTAGTTCTGCAGAGCTCACAGCTACAGCGGTGCCATGCAAGTCATTTCCACAGGGCACTGCTTTAGACTCTGCCAATGATCACCAAACAGTGCTGTGACACACCAGAAAACCACAGCATCCTGGCATCCACTAGTGCTAACTGTCACATATGGGAATCACACTTCTAAAGAGTGGGCTTTTCACATTTTTATTAATTTTAGGGAAACCTACGACACATCCTTCTGCATTCATCATCTGTCAGGTTGCAGGGCTAAAGTGTAACATGTGTGAGGAGCAGTAGGGTCACGTTTATGTGGATACATTAAGCAACACTCTCCTAGAATCAGTCAACACCCCATAATCACACTTCTTCTAAAGTAAAACCTGGAATATTAATTAACATTAAATGCAATCATATAAAAAAAGTTTCAGTCAACACTAATTCAGGTCAAGGTTTCCTCCCAAACTAGAATAAATCACATCAAGAGAGCTGTAAGAATCTTGTTGAAGAGCTTTTGGATTTAAGAATGGTATGAACAGACCAGAGATACAGCTCAGGGCGCAGCACCAGCCTGGCAAGTGCAACATCAAGTTCAATTGCCGGTATCACAATAAAAAAACTATGAGCATGGTACTGTGGGCGTACAGCGCGACAAGGCACCCAAACCAGAGACCGGGTCCCCGGGCACGTCTTCCTCATCGCCCCAAGAAAGGGGCACTGCGGTGAAACCCTACACCATTACTCTCCACATTGAGGACTACTTTTTCCCTTTGGGGCTTCCAAAGGTATCCGCTCAGTGGCACCTCGGAGGAAATTATCACTAGGAATAGTAAGTAAATGGTGAGATTTAGGTTCTAATCAAGGAACTAAAAGAAGGCTTGTATTTCAATATGGTCTTCCGTAAAAGATGAACTTGCTCTTCAACACGCCTTTTCTCTCTGTGCCCCAGGCTGGCCTTCCTTGTGGAGATCTTCCTGCCTCAGACTCCTGAGTCACCTCAACAAGCTCCATGTCAGACTCTCTCATCTATTCTGGACCAAGTCAATCAACCTCACTCCAAAAGGCATTGTCAATCTCTAAGCCAGCCTGGGGTCCCACTTGTCAGGCAAAGAGCCCAACAAAACTCAGGTAACGACTTAGTGCGAGCTGACAGCAACCCCACTTGTCCCTCACTTGTGTGCAGGTGGCCTGATCCCAGCACTGACTGATCCGGTCTGGGGTCTGTGTTTCTGTCCTGGGTGGTGCTAGCACTAATCGCCAAAACACCCCAACGCACAACTAAAGACAGCAAGGCACTCAGCAGAGACCACTGCACCTGCTGGGGCTAGGACAGCTGTTCTAGCCCAGCCTTACAGCTGTCATTCAAAGGAGCACTGTGCTCAACTCTGCACGGAGAGGAGGAAAAGTCAGACTAGAGAAGCTGCATAGGACTTTCAAGACAACGTTTTAAACCTGCTTTGTTTTTAGCCTTGATAATGTGAATTAACATCTAATATATCTGAAAGATTTACATTAATACACTCCAATACAGAGTCTCGGTGTGTAGTCCAGACTGGCCTCAACTCAGGGAAACTCTCCTGCCTCAGCCTTGCAAGTGCTGGGATTACGATTGGCATGTGTGAATAACTGTATCCAACTAGGACAGGACGTGCGATACTCTGTAGTAGATTAGACTAAAATACGAAATGGACATTCTCAGCTTTCCTGAAATGGGTATTCCTTCCAATTTTCTGGCCAACTGCAAAACATCTAGATTAAAATACCAAAACCCAAGTTTCAGTTAACAGAAAGTCTATGCATAATACATAGCTACATGAGCCAGTAGTTCAAACTTAAACAACTACTTCTTGAGAAATTCCATTTTGCAAGGAGTCTCAATTCCAAATTCAACCCATGCACGAAACACCAAGCCGGCCAAAGCTACCTGGTAGTAGACAGCACCTAAGGGAACATGCAAGCTTGGCTTCCGTGCCCAGCACCAGAGGTGACTTTTCTAGTCTAGTCTAAACATCTGCACCCACTAAATCAATTGGCAGAAGGATGTGATAAACTCTTATCTTCCAAAAATCGCCCTCCAACTTATGTTAAAACCTGAGCTAGTACAATTTCTTAGAACTTTTGACAAAAGAAACAAACAACAAAACCAAAAACACATTAAGTATAGTAATATTTGTAATGTATTTGAGACAAATGATAAGCGATTCAGAGATTACTAAAAATGCATTCAACTAATTCAGTTGTAGCTAAAACCTGTAGCTGTCAAATCTGACAGAACTTTCGAAGAACTTCAAGGTCACTGGACCTAATTTCATTTCATTAGGACTCCGCAGACAAGGTACTCACATGGACGAGTTAGGAGATGGAACCCCTATCATCAGCTAGGCTCCCAGGGGGGCTCGGCGTTGAAGTCGAACTGCTCCCTATACAGCACTTCTCCTAGGCCCTCTGGGTAGTTGTACACTCGGTCAGAAAGTTCGCCCTAGACAAGGAAATAAAGGTAGCAGATGGTCCATGTTACGAGGAAGAGTTTACACTTCAAGCAGGTTGACGTGAAAAATAGTGTGTCCCACTGAAGTCCCATTAGACAAAATGCTTTCAAAGCCTTTAACACAGTACCAAGCATTCTTTTATGCAGTAAGCCTTTCTAAGCTGCTGCACTATACAGTTCTCAGAACCTGACACCGTGGTCATCGTATCGAGGTGCTTTACCTACCTACTGATGAGTACCTAGCCATCACATGACTTTGGCTTCTGTCTCCTAAGTGTACTAGCCTAAAAGTTAAAAAAATTTACAGATATCCCACACCAACCTCCAAAACCCCGTTGTATCAGCAAAACCTTAATACACGATGGTGTACACAATCTCAGCATCTGGACCTAGCCAGAACATCCTTTTACTCCTCAAGTTCAAATCCTCCTTTGCTCTAAGTGTAAATTCTTACAATACTAAAATGTTTTAAGATCTCAGACATGAAGTGTCGGAAATAACCACTGAAAAATCCTTAACATTAGGCAACTAACCTTTTCTGGTTTATCTCCTCTTACATAGCCCATCTAGTTTTAGTTCATTCTACTGCCACTAGACGCAAGAGAATGTGAGAGTGCTTGGGACACTACACAATAGGTAAAAAGTTTAGAACTGAACACCACTCACAACTGGCTGGCTGGGTTAATCACCTCTCCGTTAAAATGTTACATCTATGTTTCCTTTGCCACTGGATTATACTGTTTTCACATAGTATAACTTGACCCTTGTTTGCTACAAAAGGGATGTTAAGAAAGAACTGGGAATAGGAAACCAGAGATGAAAGGGCAGGAATCTGAAGGGTGTCAGAAACACCACCAGCACATCTAAAGTTTCTCTCACCTCAAGAAGGGGAGGTCACGCGTAGCAGGTAAAATGTTCTACCTACCTAGCATCTTCGGGATGATCACAGTTGGTGAGGAAAGGCCCCACACCAACTTGAAATCATGAATACAAATTTACATTACATTCTAAATTATGTACTACCCACCCTATAGACATTTCAATTCTTCTTACACTAGAGAATTTTGAGGCAGGGTCTTGCTATATAATTCAAAATGGCCTTTAACCCATGGTGATCTTCCTGCCTCAGCCTCCAGGGTACTGGGATTTAAGGGCATGTGCCACCACGCCCTGCTTTAAATAAACAAAAAGCCTAATCGTGCAGGATGCAGTTCATTCTCAATTACCCTAAGAAACAAGACAATTATGCTGAGTGAAATATTACTCATCTCTCCCTACTATATTACCTGTTTTGTTGCTTAAGGAACTGAACAGCAGCAATGTGAAACACATTTTCACTCAACAAAAAGGAAGGAACTGAGGTCCCAAAATTTGCAAGTCATATTTTAATGGCTGTTAAAAAGAGTACATAGACAAGATGGCTATTTGCATACAAGACAGATGGAATGTTTATCTGGTTAGTTAAGAAAAAGCACGAAGAAGGCTGGGGATGTAGATATGGCTCAGTGCTAAGCCCTTGGGTTCAATCCCAGATATAGCCAGAAAAAAATACATAAAAACGGAAATGCGGCCAGGTGCAGTGTTACATACCTCAGGAGGCTGAGGCTGAATGATCCCTGGGAAGATGGCATGGGCATATGAGTTCAAGACCAGCCTGAACTACACAGTGAGACTGTCTCAAAAATCAAAACCAAGGGATGGGGGTACAGACAAAAGGCAGTACAGAAAAAGATAATTATTCTCAGTTAAGATATTTTTGTGTGTATATCAGCTGGGTCCAACACAACACTGCACCAAATCAAATCCCTTAAAAAACATTGAGAAAACAGGAGGAACCAAACAACAATCAGCAAGCAGTCACCAGTCAAGTACAATGAATCTCCCAGCCCTTTGACTGTAAACTACTTAAAACTTAGTATCTCAAAATTATCATTTTTGAGCACATATTGTCTTTACTTATTTCCAACATCACTGTTATTTTAAAAACTCAAAATCCCAGTCTGAATCCAGGCGTGGTGACACATTCCTGTAACCCCAGCACTTGGGAGGCTGAGGCAGGTGTTCCAAGCCAGCGGGGGCTACACAAAGCTAGCCTGAACAACAGTTCAGTGAGACCTTGTCTCAAGAAACCAAAATTTAAATAAATAAGGAAAGAAAGAGAAAAAGCAAGAGAAGGCTGGAAAACTAGCAGCAGAAAAGACTGAGAACCAAGGCAACTAAACACAATGTAATACACTGGACTGGACTCTGGGAATGAGAAAGAACAACAAAGAGAAACTGACAACCCCAAAAGAAACCTAGAGGTTATTAATACCAAAACCGATTTCTTACTTTTGACAAATGTACCCTGAAGCGTTAAAATGCCAGCAAGATTGACCATAGGATGTTGGATGTGGGAACTGTTACATCTTTGCAACTTTTCTGGGAAACCAAACTACTCTAAAATAAAATCTATTTTCAAAAAATTAAGCAAGGGATTCACACAATGAAATAATACTCAGCAATAAAAAGGAACAATTTGCTGATAAATTCAGTAAGAATATAAAAAACATGCTAAATTAAAGCCTTTTACACAAAGGATTCAAACTGATTCCATTTACATTAAATTTTTTTAAAAAAAATAATCATGGCTGCTTCTGTGGAGACTGGAACTACGTCTGAAAGAGCAAGAGAGCTTTCTGGGGCCACAGTGATGGGATGCAGGTTAGAGTTATATACAGCTTTTTTTTTTGGTCACGACTCATCATCTGTGAATTTTATTTTCATGTGAATTTTACTCCCTGAATTACAAAGTTGTAAACTGAATAAAATCCTATTTAATATGTGCACACTAACGCTGGAGGAGGCTGGCCTTCAGGTGTCCACCTTACTGTAAAACACATGGAACAATAAAGAGGGACGGATGACAGGGCAGATACAGCAATAGGTTAACTGGTAGCCCAATGCAGATGCTCCTCTTTCACCTTCCTGTGCTTGAAATATTTTATAATAAAAACCAGGAAGGCATTTATGACTTGACTTCATTCACAAGTATCTTGGCACCGATCAGAGTTAACTCCTCAGGGACTACTTGTCTTCAGGATCGGCAGGAGTAAAAAATGCGGGATCACTAGGCCTTGCCAGGCAGCCATCAGCCATATTCTGGCACGCAGCAAAGCAGAAGCTCGGTTAAGAGCCCTGGTCTCGCCCTAGCTGAGGATTCAATGGCGGAAACAACGGGACCCAGAACAATTTAACGTATACAGTTGGGAAGCCATCACAAAGCACAGCGCGACCTGCAGGGACATAGTGGGGCGTGCGCTGGATCCCCCGATCCCCAGGACTTCCCATCTGGCACCGGATTAGCCTTTCGGCTGCCCCTTTTCCCTCGGCCCGGGACTCGCCGCATAGGAACACGCAGCCTCGGTGAGTAACCTAGGGCCAGGGAGGGACCGGGTGAGCGAAGGCGACCTGGCCCAATCCGGAGCCCCGCAGGGCGGGGCGGTGGCCCGAGGTTTCCAGAATGGCCCGCAGGGCTCCCAGACTCCCCAGCCAGCTGGGCCACGCTGCCCCGGTGCACTCGCAACCCGCCCCGCTGTCAGCTGCGGTCTGCGCGCCCGCCCCGCTCCATTCATTGCCCGGTTCCGGAACCCTCGGGTCGTCGTCAACGCGCCGGCCGGACCTGGGCCCCTCCCGGAAGTAGCAGTGCACCACGGGAGGGACGGGGAGGGGAGGGCTGCGGGCCGCGGGAGCCCCCGGCCCCCACCCGCGCCGCCCGCCGCCCCCCATGCCGCGTCCGCCATATTCGGGGGCCCGCCGCGGGGACCCCTGCCGTCTGTGCCCCCGGCCCGGTACTCACGTGGGATAACGGCCCAAAGAGTCGGGTAAAGCGTCTTCTCTTTTTCGGCGGAATTTTTAAAGAGGGATGTGGTTACCTTGAGCAGAAATACCCAAGGCGGCCTGGGCCATAGGCTGCGGGGACGGCGTGGGGAAAGCGCGGCACCGACACCAGCTGAGCGGCAGTGGCGGCGGCGGCCGGAGAGAAATGGGGCGACGCGGGCAGGAGGGAGAGAGAGGTGCGGGCGGAAGAGGACTCGGCCTTGACAGACTGCAGAGCGGCAGTACGAGAAGGAAGAAGAGGCAGAGCGGCAGCGACACACAGAGAAAGGGGAACAGGCGGCCTACGGACAAGCCAGAGTGTGGGAAGGCGGCGCCGGCGACGCCAGTCTTTATGGTAAGGGGCGGGGCCCGGTGACGTCACAGAAGGCCGCCGCGCGCGGGGTGAGGAGGGCGGGACTGGCGTCGCCCGGGAGACGGGGGCGGAAGAGGAAGGAGGTTGGCGCAGAGGGCTAGAGGGCAGTGCGACCCCGGCGCAGGTGCGGCCGCCCGCGCCACCGCTTCCCGCGCTCTCTAGGGTGTAGAGGGACAGAGCGCTGCGGCCGGCCCCGCCCTGGCCCTGAAGTGCGTCGTGCCCCCCCCTTGGGCCCCCAAAAGCGCGGCCGAGCGCGCGGGCTGTTGCCGCTGAGGACGGCCTCGGTTCGCAGACGTTGCCGCACGGCGTCGTGGGAAAGTTCCTGCTGGAGGACGTGGCTTTCAGGTCTTTATTTTAAACAGGGTTGGCGCGCAGAGCCGCGCCTGCCAGTGCAGGACCAATGCTAGAGAGGGGATTACCCGCGCAAAGCGAATCTCATTACACATATTTTTACCAGTGCGTCTAAGATGGCCTGCGAGCTTTGCATTTATTCTTTTCTTTTCTTTTTTTCTTAACTCAGCACTTGTGACCAGAGACTTCAGTTCTCCCGCACTAACTCTTTGCAAGAGTACAAGTGAACTATGTAGTGACAGGTCTTGGAGGCTGAGATCATGACTTTTTCCCTTTTGATTCTAACCTGCCCTCCACTTCGAGAGCAGTGCTGTGTGTGATTCGTTCATCGTCAGAAAAGGGAGAGGAAAAAAGACCCTGAGAGAAAAGGATATCTCAGAACAGAGTAATAGAAATCAGAAGCTGCGAACTCTAGTCCTGACTTTTTTCCTTATTTTGCTCTGATGTATATTGGTTTTCCCTTCCATTTTTTAAAAGTTCTTTCTGGGTCAGAACAGCCATTTCATTAGACCCCTTGGCAGAGGAAGGCAGATGAGGACGAGTACACCACTTGACTGTTGCTTACAATCCAGGAGGGTAATAACACATCCACACAGAACAACCCAGTTATTGATAGATGGACAGATGAAACGTTGCAAGGAGCCATTTAATAGAAGGAGAAATTACTTGCAGCTGAGTGAAAAAGACTGCTGAGGAAAATCTCAGTGATACTGAACACTGAGGTTCCAGGAAAGGGAAGCATGGTGATTCTGAGAGCAGGTGTTCTACCAAGGCAAACAGATGAGAAGATGGTGCAGCCACCAGGTTAAGAAAACTGAGAGGGCTGGGGATTTAGCTCAGCGGGGTGAGTGCCTGCCTGACAAGTGCAAGGTTGTGAGTTCAATCCCTGGTACCAAAAAAAAAGAAAAGAAAACTGTGAGTGGGTTTTCTGTAGGGGCAAAGGAGAGAAAAAGGTAGGTTTGGGTGAGATCATGATGTGACTGGAACAGAGCCTATAATCCTACCACTGGGGAAGCTGAGGAAAGGAGATCACCAATTTGAGGCCTAGACTACATATTGTACATAGACTCTGCTTCAAATAGCAAACAAGGAAACAGGATGAGGTGGTGTAGTCCTGTAATCCCAGTACTAAGGAGGCTACAAAGTGTGCTCAAAGCCAGCGAGACCCTGTCTCAAAAAAAAATTATTTTGGCATCAGTGATGACATTGAAAAAAATTTTTGGCAGACAAGGGCATACTCTACAGAAGTTTAAAAATATTACGAAGAGTTTCAGAATGAATGGTAAAGAAAAGGCATAGTAAGGTGTTAAGGGAAAATGGAAGGTGTCAAATAATTGGAGGATGTCAAACTTATCAACAGAAAGAACTCAAATGACAAAGAGAGGTAGGGGTAAAATGAGGCTGTTCTGAGCCTAAAGAGTTTGAGCTATGGTGACATGCAGGGACATCCCTAGAAATGGTCTGATCAGGAGCGCTTTGCGGGTGAGTTTGGGAGCCTTCCTTCCAAACATGATAATTAAGAAATTGCTGAGGTACACAGAAAAGGGAATAAAAGCACGGGACCTAGAGAAATGCCAGGAGGACAAGACAGAAAAGACCAAGGGAGCAGCCAGAAGAGAAGGATCAGTGATGCAGTGTGGAGCCGTCCAGAGAGCAGGGCGCTTGCTGTGTGGTGGCGCTGCATTCAGGGTCATCACGTCCTTACAGATGGAAAGAGGCTTCTGACCTGGGCAGGTGGCACATCGTTGGTAACCTGCAGTGTGACTTCAGAAGTTAGATTTTTGCTGGGGATTTAGCTCAGTGGCATAAATGCCTGCCTGGCAAGCGTGAGGTTATGAGTTCAGTCCCCGGTGCCACAGAACTTAGATTTTTATCCCACAGGCACTGGGAACAGTAGTGATCACACTTGCAATGTAGAAAGAAGGGTCCTAAGGTGGGAAGGGAAAAGGCTCTTTAAGTTTTGGCATGGAGAACATTGGAGAAGCAAGTGGAATCATTTGTGGAGAATGATGAGAGCCTGAGAAAGTTACCTGTGACCTTTCCCTCAAGTTCATAGGATTAGGAGGACAGCAGGCAGTGGAAGCTGGGAGTGTTGACCTCCTGTCAAGTGAGGGTGCTGGACCAGTGCCTAATCCAACATCATCGACGCTGGGGAGCAACTGCCCATTGGCAGCTTTATTATTAACAATGTGCACCCAGGGGCTGAGTGTTCACATATCCAAATTTAAAGAATATCATTGGCTTTTAATGAGGGCAATAGGACAACGAAGGTTCTTGTTCAGAACGGATGGCAGCCTATGTGGGTCTGAGAGGATGATCACCTGATGAGAACAGCAGACTTAATTATGCCTGAGGTTTGGGGTTTGGGTGGTTTTGCCAAGTCAGCTTACTCATGCCCAGGTAGTGCCAGGGAACACAGGAAATAGCCTTGAGGTGAACTGATACAATAGCTACCACTAGCAGCCTTAGGTCACCCAGGTCCATGGATGCCAATCTGGTGTGGGCCAATAAATAGGCTGAATTACGGGTGAAGACTCAAAAGTGTTAGGGGGAGCTAAAGTCGTCTGCCTCCAACAAATCATGCATGACAAAGGGGAGGAGCCTGATGGTAATGAAGGTAAAAATCCCAGTCTGACGTCTTAGTGTGAGCTGGACCCCCAGTGCCTTAGCTTTAGGAGGAGAAGCCGGGTGAGAGGTGGCCAGGCCATGGCAAGAGGAGGGCGGGGGGTGTTGGGGGCTGCGAAAGGACTCAGCCCCTCTCTCTGGTCTCCTCCACCTCTTTCTGCCCTGCCTTTGCCCTTCCGCCAGGGGCACGGCAAGATTATCCTGGGGGGACCCCACCGCCAGGGGTGTGAGCCAGGCTCTGCCTGCTGGTCAGTCATCGCAGCTGCATTGCTGTGTTAGGGCTGCACAGACTACCACTGCGAGACGGGTGCCAGCTCAAGAATTTTTAGTGCTACGGTGAATTCCTAGTGACATGCAGGGACATCTCTAGAAATGGTCTGATCAGGAGCGCTTTGCGGGTGAGTTTGGGAGCCTTCCTTCCAAAGGCTACTGTTTCTGTGGTGCAGAAAACTAAAAGTTTTAATGCTTAAAACATTCACAATTTGAAACAGCAAGGGCTGGGGGTGTCACTCAGTGTTAGGGTACAGCACTTGCCTAGCATGCACAAGGCTCTGGGTTCAGTCTCAGCACCACCAAAAACAAAGGGAAACAAGACATGCAGATATCTGTCACATGTTTCTGGCCACTGATAACTTTCTAAAAAGCTGACTCACCTTGAGGATCTGATGCCATTAGGCGTGGCGGCGTACACCTGTCATCCCAGAATTCTGGAAGACAGAGGCAGGAATTATTAGAAAGTCAAACCCAGCCTAAGAAACCCAGGCTTAGTAAGGTCCTTCTCAACAGAAATAAAAAAGTAACCAGAACACAGTGGAGCACACCTGGAATCCCAGTGTTCAGTTCAGGAGACGGAGGCAGGACGGTCACCTCAAGTTTGAAGCCAGCCTGGGCTACGTAGTAAAACCCTGTCTCAGGGAAAGGAAAGAATGGACGCACTGTGGGTTTAGCTCAGTGGGAAGGCTCTGGGTTCAATCTCCTGGACAGATATAAGCAGCGTAACAGATACTGTTTACTTCTGAAGTGTGTGTGGTAAAAATCCTGGGTTGTAATTTCTAAGAAAGCCTCTGCTTTAATTGTATTGGCGTGTTTAACCTTTCCACAGTACGTAGTCCCGAGTCAGAGGGCCGTAGGCATTCTGCCAGCTGTCTCTTTGTCCACAGGGTAACTTAACTCCAGAATGGCCCCACGGGGCCAGCAGAGTGCCCAGTGTCGATGGGGGCAGGGGCGGGGCTGTCCTTGCGTTTCAGTGCCATGTGTGTCATCAGATGTGGGCCAGCGTGTAACTGCCCTCAGTCACTGGTGAGCAGCTCCATGACGTCTTTCATTGCTTTGCAAAACAACAAGATTACTCACTGCTAATTTGAGGGCACTGATTTAGAAACCGGCCCCAAAGCCAGGGCGCTAATCCGAGTTGTCGGTGAAGTACACGTCACCGGCCTGACTGGAACGAGGTGGAGGAGAGAGGCCACCCTGGCTCTGTGCTCTCCTGCCCTTCTGGACTCCTCGGACCCCAGGGGACCCTTGGACATCTGTTTCATGTTCACTGTACCGGTGGGCATTAGCTGTTAACAAGTATGTTGTTTGTTGAGTAATACAGTAAATAGCAAGATAGGTTTGTATTTATCTCAAAACAACCGCCTGGCAAGTTGCCTAAGCTTTTTGGCTGTCCCTTTAGGAAATCAGACATATAAAGCATAATCTTGTCTAGTTCAAATTGTGGCTTTCTCTGTACTGTTTAATAAATAACCTAGCCTGTGTGTTGTCCCAGGAGCTAGTTCTGCTTCCGAAATGATTGTTCATAATGGTAATTAGAAACTACATTTTATTGAGACTTTTTTTTTTAATAAGACATGGTTTCAATATGTGGTTCAGGCTGGCCTTGAACCCTGTACCCAGGCTGACTTCGAATCTGTAGCGATCCTTCTGCCTCAGTCTCCTGAGAGTTGGTTTGACAGTGTTCTGTGCCACCACACCCAGCTTGATAAGACTTTTAATATTTGTCTTTT